TAATTTAGCAATGGCCCTCAAATACAAGATCGTAGTCCCTCGATGACCATTCAATGTTGCCTTCGGTAAACGATCTTAGATCCTTAAGATAAATTTCTAAAGTATCATACAATGTTTCCTTCTATGACTGCACAACGGCCCACACTTGTCCCTTCACATCCAATGATAGGGCTTCTTACCAATCAATGGTAAGATAGTAATATCTAAAGGAGGAGGAAATGAACAAAGAGTTTTGAGTAGATAGAACGTTCATAGTTTCTTTCTCACAAACATTTTCAAAACATCTTTCAAAAACATCAACACTTTCATGAAATATTTTCAAAAGTCAACACTTTGTATACATTCTTATAGAGACAAGAATCATTACAAAGTTCGCCTAAACGAAGACACTTTTCAAAAATACTTTCAAATTAATTCACAAACATACTTACAAAGCATTTCAAAGTGAGCTAGCAACTAATAGCTCATAGATAACAACAAATGAAAAGGGTGATAACACCTTCCATTTTCATAACCAACCCTTGGAACTCAAGAAAATTCTCAAAAGGTCTTTCTTGTTCTTTTCACTCTTTCCTTTATTGGATAAAATAAAAGTCAGTGGCGACTCTTGCTATCCACAACAATTGCGATAAAATGCAAAACATCCAAGTCAGTTCTTCCACCGTATTACAGAACTGGAGACTCTGCTAGGGAAATAACTTAAAAGTGGGGTTACCTTAGAGATTAGATCACCTTTAAATGCTTTCATTGTTTGACTTGATTGCTTTACATTATTGGTTATGTTTGGGAGTTTTTTAGATCCTCTACCCGAAAAAAGGGAACATTATTAGGTAAGTAGCAAAGATTATGGAGAATGTACGGTGTATACCGATATGGTTGAAGCAATAGCTACGTAAGTGTGACACATTTGTGGGTACCGGTATCCCTTGTGGCAAATCGAGGAGAATACGGGGCCTTTGTGTGGTGTCATAAAACACTAACTGACCTTAGAACCTTTAGCTGAACAACTTGGCCATTAGGAAGTGGTGAGATAGGTGGCTTTGGTGCAGTCCAAAGTTGGTTGATACTCGATACTACGCTCATTGAGATCGGACTTTCAGGATATCTAGATCGCTGATAAAGAGGCTTGCATTGAAACAATGTTCGATGAAAAAAGATCAATGATATTGAGATTCCCTAGAACCCGATTACTTTTTAGGATAGGTTGAACCGACTAAACTTCAAGAGGGTACTTACCTATGAACCCCATGCAATCCTAAACCTAAGGGCTTGTTTTCTTTGCTTGTATATGGTTATTTGTACATAACATCATGACATCATACCATAGCATTTGCACTAACCATTTCAAGGACCTAGATATTTATCTTTGTTCTGCTTTGTAGAATATGGCTTCCATTCGTAGAAATACTATACGAATCAACCTTGTGAAAGTGTCTCCTCAACTCAAGGAGTTAGCATCAAGGGTCCCTGAAAATTTTCTGTTCACCAAGAAGTATGGTCGACTCCTCAACTTGGTTACCTCAAACTTTGAATAAGACATGGTACATGTGATTTTTCAATTCTTTGACCCTAAACATCACTGTTTTACATTTCCTGATTACCAATTAGTACCTACCATGGAGGAGTTCTCTCAACTATCGGGAGTGCTTATTCTTGATCAATTACCCTTCACCGGTATTGAGAAAGACCCAAGACCTGAGGAGATTGCTCTATCCTTACATTTGTAACAGTCTGACATTGTGGCTAATTGGGTAACTAGAAGGGGTGTTAAAGGTTTTCTAGCCAAGTTTCTGTTTGAAAAGACTCAACTATTTTGGGATGCTATGGATTTTCAAGCCTTTAAATAATTTTTGGCTCTTCTAATCTATGGGGTGGTATTGTTCCCTAATCCAGACCAACTTATAGATGTGAATATGGTCAAAATCTTCCTATCTCGTAACCCGGTGTCTACCTTACTCTGAGACATTTTGCATTATCTTCACGCCCGTACCATGAAGATAAGGGGAATTCTCATGTGTTGCACTCCTTTGCTGGATAGGTGGTTTATTTATCACCTTCCTCAGTCAGTTTTGAAGAATAAACAAGGCATGAAGTGGTCTCAAAGGTTGATGTCACTCTCGCATTCAGATATCCATTGGTGTTCTCGATCTTTGGGGAATTCCCTAATGTCCCACTCCTTGGAATTATGGGAGGTATCGCTTATAATCCTTTCTTGGATCTACGACAGTTTAGTTACAATCGGAGGGATGGTCCACATGATACGCTCATCCAAGGTATTGTGTTTGACTATGAGAACGATGTCCAAGGTTATCATCAAAGGTTTGTACGAGCTTGGGGCATGGTGAACAAGGTTGATAGCAAAACTTTGGGGCATAAGAACTCCATTCCTTTGGAACCTTATCTCAAGTGGGTGTGATCTCGCGCTCCAAACCTCATGATGTCGTATGTGGCCATCATACCAATCATCACGAAGCCTATTACCGGAGGAGATGCTCCTTACACCATTATTCATACTGACATTCCTACTACTCTCGAGGAATTACAAAGGTCATGGATTCAACTCAAATGGGGAGCAAGACCCCTTCGAATCCCAATTCTACTCGAGCTAGAAGAAAGTGTTGGAGCTCACAAGGAAACTCCACAAGGAACGGAACTTGAATGCCTACATCAGTCCAAAGAGGAAGCGTCCATGGGAGACCTGAGTCTTTTGTTGTATAATTTCATTTTTTATTTTTCTTTCATTGTAAGCCCAAGAGGCAGTTTGTAACCTTCGAACTCATTAATACAACTAATTTTTTTGTTTCCTTTTTTTAAGCAAATTTAAATCTTAAAGTTCCTTGAAAGCATTGCATACGCATAACATGTATCATATCATAAGCAGGTTTTCTGACACAGGTTTCTTCATCTTTCTACTGTTTATTTCAGTATAAGATGGATCTCGAGCGAATTGTGAAAGACTTGCAGACTCAAAACTCTCAGTTTCAATAAAAGTTTCTCAACTTAGCAAAGGTGTAGCAAGAAATGATGACACTTCTTGTCACGAAAAAGAAGACAAAGCAGAAAGTTGTAATCAACATGGGGAAGAGATTTAAAGGACCCATCCGACAAGTTCAAGTTGAAGAAGACTCCTCCGAGGAGGATGAGAATCAAGATGAAGATGCTAAGAGCACCCGTGTCGGGGGTGGAAACAATCAAATCTCCGGAGACGAAGATTATTTTAATGAGCAATATCCATTGGCCGACGACAAGTATAAGCAACTAGAAGACGGATTGAAGGCTGTAGAAATCCAATATGTTCCTGGCTTGGACTTTGGTGACTTGGGTTTGGTGTCTGGGGTAGTCATTCCCCACAAATTCAAAATCCATGCTTTTGCCAAATACGATGGTGTCTCATGTCTGAAACTTCACCTAAGATCTTATGTCCGCAAAATTCAGCCACATACCGCTGATAAGAAACTGTGGGTTCACTTTTTCAAGAAAGTATATATGGAATGCAGTTGGAGTGGTTTTACCAATTGGAAGGGACTAACATCCATACCTGGGAGGATTTTTCCACTGCTTTTTACCGCCAATATCAATATAACGCTGATCTTGCGCCAACTAGGGTGTAATTGCAAGGAATGACCATGGGATCAAATGAGGGCTTCAAAGAATATGCCCAAAAATGGAGAGACCTGGCTGGCAGGGTGCAGCCACCTTTAACTGATAGAGAGTTCGTGGATATGTTTATGAGAACATTGACTGGACCATTTTTCAACTTACTAATTGGAAGTTCATCATTCGGATTCACTGAATTGATCTTGACTGGTAAGAGGGTTGAAAGCGGGATCAAAAGCGGGAAGATACCCATGGCCTACACTTCAAATGTTGTGAAAAAGAAATTTATTGGTAAAAAAGACCAATGATGTGTATGGGTCAAGAAGCCATACTAGGAATGACCGTCATCATTCAGTAGGGGTTGTACTGATCTCTAATCAAACTCCAACTCAACGACCATGTTGACAAAATAGTCAACAAAGACCAGATGTTCGAAGAAGACAGTTTACTAAAATCAATATGCAACTATCTCAAGCTCTGCAACACCTATTGAAAGTTGATTTGGTGACCTTGCGAGATCCCCCTTCCAACCATAATACTGCTTCTCCAAAATACAACCCCAATGCTAAATAAACTTACCACCCAAACAGTCCCTAACATGATGCCAATGATTGTTGGTCTCTAAAGAATAAAAGCTAAATGTCAGTTAAATCCTCTAACCAACCCTCTAACAAACTTCTCAATGATTTTAAAGTTAAGAATATAGCAGAAGAGGAATAGAAAACAAGGGACAGTTTCAAAAAAAGATTGATAATAGAATGTAACAAAAGGAGAAGAGAGGAAGATAGGAGGCATTTATAACAAAAAGTCAGGGAAGAAAATCGTGGATAAACCTTGCTATCTTCACCTTGCTCAACCACCTCCTAATTCTCTGAATGCACCACTTCTTCTCCACCATCTTCTCTCTGATTCCTTCTCCATCACCATGAAGAAAACCACCAAAAATTACTCTCTCTCTCTCTCTCTCTCTGATTCAATCCACCAAAATTTTCTCTGCAATTATCATCCTCAACCTGCATCATTTCTGCATCTTCATCTATGCATCATTCTTCAGGAGAATCACAAGATCATCTTCATCCATTCTTCAATCGCTAGAAGAATCACAACAACAAAATCTCGGAAATATCTCATCTCTTTGCAACCGATTCTTCTACTTGCTTTAGTATTTGCTTCAATCAGCATCCTCCAACCGTTATCATCTTCAAAACTCTCTACATATATTCAACTATGTTCATCATCATCATCTTGGCGCGTCATTAATAATCATCTTGCATCATCTGCGTTTCTCCTTCAACCTGCATAATGTAATTGCAACAATTCAGAACAATTAAGAAGAGGAATTCATGGCAGAAGAAGATAGAGGCGAGGAATAAAGAATGCATACCTGAATCACGCTTGAAGCATCATCGGAGCAACTCCGACGAGTAATAATTTATTTCCTTCAGCCACTCTTTATGAATATGTGTGTATTCGTATCTGTTGACAGAGTTAAGATTGAAGCTAAGAAGTGAGAACAAAACTGCGACGAGTCCTGAAATCAGAGAAGACTTGAATTTGCGGAGGAGTTGGTCAGAACTCTGAATCGTGAAATATGCTAATAGAAGCGGAGGCAAACCGGAGATGAGAAACCACCGCGCTGGAACATTAGATGCTCCAATCATAACTGTTCTTTGCTCGATATTGAAGTATTTTGACGCTCTTTGATGTCCACCAGCAACAATAGCACTCGAATTGTGATACTTGGTTGGAAGGTACGCCGTTTTGAAGATTTGGTTTTCTCGTTCTTCTTCGTTGATTCGGCCATATGAAGGTTTTTTGGAGAAATTGACGGTGAATCTGAATTCAGAGTGTTGTCTTAGGGTACGCACGTGTTGGACCATGTTGACTTAGGTTGGTTTAGTGGCGACACTCGCAGCGGCATGCTCTCCAGAAATCTCCACTTGACATCGCGAAAGAGATGGACTAAGATCATACAAAACTCGAGGGTCACTAACCCTAACTTGATACGACATTGTTTTGGTCTTAGCATACATTCCTTTCATTTTCTTACTGATACAAACTTGAACTCCTGGATAACCCGTTGGGCCAAGATGCATGCCTAGCCCAATAATTCCTGAAGCGAACCCCCCCCCCCCCTAAGGAATCATCACGTCGACTTGTTTGTTTAGAGTTGAGTTGGGCCATTGAAGCCTTGGCCCAAGTGTCTTGCTAGATCTATACACACTTCTGCTTAAGTCCAATACCCCCCACTGTTTCAATTTTTTGCTAATTTTATTTTAATGTTTTACATAGTTTTTTTTTCTTTTTTAATTAATTTTGACATTTTATTTCTTTGCACAATAAACATGATAAAAATTCAAAAATATTAGAATAGAATTTTAATTCTTTTATTAATTTTTGTTGTTGTTATTTTAGCCATGTCTTCGGTAGATTTTAATGCCGACTTTTATGTTAGACTTTGAAATAAAAAGAGACTTGGGTTCAATAAGTTTTGAAGCTAACTAAGAATGCAATATCCATTAAGAGAAATTTGAGGAAGCACTCAGTAGAGTTTTCTTATGGCTTGCGTGGCTTTGAAGAGGAAACGGACCTTCTCCGTTAGGTACCATCGTAACTTCATTTTATTCCTCATCTCCGCACTTTATTGCATTTTACCGTTTTCTATATATCATGAGAAGTAGGAAATAAAGAGTGTGCGCTCGAAGTCGCTGTTTAAAGACCTGTAACAAGAATTTCGCACTTCATTTGGTTTATGTGTTGTGCTTGTGTTTGTTTCCTTGGTTGTTGATTGATGAGTCACTCAATTTAGAAATTGAGATCATGACTTCGCTCTCGATGCATGCTCTCTATAGGATTTTATCGCTTTCCTTAATTTCTTGTTGATCTATGAGTCACTCAATTTAGAAATTGAGATCACGACTTCACTCTCATGGCATGTTCCCCATAGGATATTTTTGTTAGACTTTCTTTGGTATGCGAGCTTAGATAGGATCTCTCTAGGTGTGCTCTCTTGAGCTAACTCTCTTGGGCTTATTGTCTTGCTTGTTTGATTTCATCTTTGTGTGCATGTTTTAAGATGATATACCCTCGGCATGTTCCCTTAGGAGCTCTCGATTCAACTATAGATGATTATTCGAGATAGACATAGTTTTAGGTGATATACCCTCGTTATGCTCCTTTAGGACTTCTTGATTCATCTATAGATGATGAGTTGAGATAGACATTAGGATTGTTATTCAAGCATGTCAACTTAGGGTGGAGATTTCCCTTCAAAGCTTAACCCTAGGACCACCATTGTATAACAACATTAGGGATAGATTTAGGTTAATCACCCCTTAGACTTTTCTTTTCCCTTTTGCATTTGCATTAAAACAAAAACTTCTTTTTCTTGTAAACTTCAAAACAGTTAAAGATTACTGATGAGATTCATACCTTTGTTGAGCATGGGAAATGATAAGCGGGTTTCTTCTCGATCTTATCGTTCTTCCATTCTAAGCCTTGGTGTGGTTCAAGTCTCAAATACTTATTTCATGAATAAATAGAGAAATGGCTAATATCTCTCTCTTGATATTAACTAGTTGTTATCTGCAGCAAAAACACCAACCAACACAAACTCATTTTTCCTTCGGGCTTTTCTTTCAAAAACTTTTTCAAAAAAACATGTTAATTCACTTCTATGCTGACACATAAGTCTCCAAAGATCGAGTTGTGGCAGAAGGCGAAATTAATATTATTCATTAAAAAATACAAATTAACGAAAACATGTGAGCCGAACTACGGCTTCTCTGATTCCTTAAAAGGGATATGTAGGCATTGGGGTAGGGCCCGAACGAGCACAACTTTATTTTTACCTACATTATTTTCTCTTTTATTTTGCATGCATTCCCTGTATAGTTTAGATAAAGATTCTTACACACCCATAAGATAGACAACAAGAGTGGATACCATGGAGTACTACGGGCGTGTGGGGTACTAATACCTTCCCCTCACATAACAGACTCTCTTACCCATATCTCTTGGTCGTTCGACCTTGATTTCACCCTTCTCAGGTTTACTTGATGTTTACCTTTCCCTTCCTGTGGGACAAAAAATGTTCGGTGGCGACTTCATTGATTTCATTATCCGTTGATTATTCAGCCGATTTTTTCAGCTGGCGACTTCACTAGGGAGTATAGACCTATTGCTGGTCCATCCCGGAATCGATCCTAGCTCTTATTTTCTTTTCTTTGGGTGTTTATTTTTATGCTTTCAGTTTATTCATTTATACATGTTTATCTGAGCATATGTTTGCATTGCATTTTATCGCTTTCCTTATATTGGTGATACTGCTGTGCTGGATCTGTTTTCATGATTAGGTGGGTGTTACAAGAGGTAAAAGGCCCAATACTCAGGCCATAGGGACCCTAGGAATAGAGTGGAACATGGACGTCTAGTTGACTTAGGTTTCACTATTGCCGCCATGTCATTCACGCTCAGATGAGGTACAAATGAGAGGCTATCGTTTTCACGTAGGTGATATGGCGATAGTTTTTCAGGAGTACCCTCGATTATGGGTTACCCGACCTTACTCTGACCTAGTTTTCACCCGTGAGAGGGGAGAGACTTGATTATTACAGGTACAGTTGGTGACTATGTTCTGATGGTGACCGTATTGTTCTATTGGTGACCTGATTCTTTGGTTATGTCCTGGACCTTTGATCCTGATATATTTGACTTTGCCAGAGATTATACAATGGTTATTCATGGTACTTGGTTCCATCGTGTTCTGAAATTGGTGTCGAACCTTTGATCCTATGATATCCGGATTATTCAGCAGATTTATACAGCAGTTATCCATAGGATTATACAGTTGTCATGCTGAACTTTTGAACTTATGTTATTACACCTTGCAACATAGCATGTTTATTTTACACACAAAAAAAAAAGAAATATGAAAGATTGTATGCATAAAAAAGATGTTTGAACATGGCATTGCATCCACTCATTCACGTCATACATCTCCATGCATTCAAAACAGGTACTCGGGATGGGGAATTCTTATTCAGGCCCGATATTTTCTCTTCAGAATTGTGAATCTTGACTTCTCACCGCTCTGTTATCTGAAAAATCCATGAAATGACTTCATCGGGAATTGGATGAGAGTGTGAAATGAAAAATCATATGGGGTTGTTTATCGTGGACATGCAGGTCTTGGCCCATGGTCATAAATCCTTAAGGGGGAAATATAACCAGTTAGAGACTCCGTTGAGTCGGATATGGAAGTTCTGAAGACACTGTCAGCAAAGAAAAGTGGTCTTGGATATGTTGTTGCAACAAAAGTTGTCATTCATACCCATCTTATGGGACATTTTTCAAATTGAGAGATACTTTGTGGGTCTCATCCAGAACTTCGTGTTCCCGGATTTTATTACTAGCAGTTAGTTTCTGGTCTTTAAGTGAACCCGTGGGGCAAATCTTATCAGCAAAGACAGAAGAAAAAGCTTGAGAAGCAGATTGATACAATCTTTGTACCTTGTATCCAGTTGCTTCATCATGTGTTAGAAGCTCAGTTGATTAAGCTTTGTGCTTTGGGTCATCCTCCCCTGAAATTTCCCTCCTAATTTCCTCCCCACCTAGTTATGATATTGAAAACTGCAAGGGGTTAAAGTATGAAGTCTGGCACTTGTTTGGCTTCTTTTCCAAGGTTCAGTCCATGTTTGCCAAATTGTTCCAGACCCTTTCTCCTTGGTTGTGTGCCTCTTATGTGTAGTAGAAGGTGAGGTGATGCTTCTGCGATGAAGAAGTATAAGACATTTGCTGAAGTGTAGAAGGAAAATACCTCAAAGGTCGAGTTCTACATTCATAGTTTAGTTTCTTTTGTGTAGTAGAATATTCTTTGTTATAGCTTCTGAATTTTGCTTTTGTGTAGTAGAAGACGGAGACTATTTTGTGAAGTAGGAGATTCTCTATAATTCGGTTGCTAAAACTTCTCACTTGTTAAGTAGGAGATGAAGTTTAATTTCTTATGTGTAGTAGAAGATCTTTTGGTATGGTTGCTGGATGTTGCTTCTATGTAATAGAACACGGTGCTTCTTTTGTGTAGTAGGAGACACTCCAGAATTCAGTGACTGAATTTCTCTTTTGTGTAGTAGAAGATGGTTGGCATTTCTTCTTTGTGGTAGAAGATACTTTGTGATGCAGTTTATGCAAATTTGCTTGATAAAGCATTCATCACATCTGTTAAGGGAATCCGATGTGATTACCATGCTGGGGAACTTGGCCATTCAACTGAAGGTGTAAACCATTCGAAGATAAGGTGCCATACCTGCTTGATGTAAAGGTCATCATTCTCGCACCAGTTGGTCATATTTGAAGTCTCCTTTGACTCATTGAACGTCAAGACTGTCAGAGCATCGACTGAAGCAACAAGTCCATACGGAGACTAGTCTCCTCAACATGGAAAATTCAAATTACATTTGCATTCTCATTTGTAATCTTTATTTTTTGGTTCAGTACTTTCTTGTATGCAAAATTTGTTTATTCTTGGATATTAATCATAATGCATTGAATATGTTTGTCTTGAATTAATCCATTCATATTCACTCTTAAATGTTTTACTATGCTTTTTTATACCTAACTCTTGTCACACAAAAAAAAGCAAAATACCTCTAGAGGGAGGATGAAGAGAAAAATACTAAAAATTTCAAGCGGTGTGCTTTTGAATAAAAAACTTGCTGACGATGTACATGCCTTGTTTCAAATTCCCAAACACCAGAGATATAAGGGAGATAGACCCTCGTCAACCCCTTTGAGCCTTGAAGTAGGAGTTTCTTTTCTGTTCAGAAAAAACCCTCACATTTAACCCGGGGCAGGGTAGATTTTAGTTAATCCAATTGAGCAT